TTGGCAGTGATGTCATTTCTTCCTACAAACATGGGGACAAGTCCACATCAGCGTGCACAGCAGTAACCAATGATGAGGTTTGGTGTCAGTGAACGCTGAGCTGTGATTGGTCATGGCCGGTTGTATAGAAAAGGCCATATGGATGTCAGTGTGAGGAGGAAATGAACCCGTCAATCGAGGATCCTTATCTCCTCCTCTACTGTCCATGATGGATTGTCCCGGCAGAAGCTGTATTGACATTACCCAGAATCCCTCAGTCCTCGCGCACAGTGACTCAGCTTTTACTGGCCCTGATAATATTCCTCTAATAAAGATTGTTATTGTTACCAATGAATCAATATTTGCCAAGTCGCTCCCACTCCCAGATCTGGATCTCTACAGCTGGCTGTGTGATGTGAGCATTGTCTGTGTATTAGATATGAGAGGGCCCCGGGGCCCCAATGTGGGCGGGGACACGTGAAAAACTAAAACTTATGTATTTCTATATAGAATTTCCATAAGTTCCCTCCCCCTCCTAATATCCAGATAGAAGTCTGGACACTTACTTATTGATGCTCCTAGGATGGACTTCCTCAATGTGCTGACACCATTTTACTCGGCACTGTGAATGTGAATTTCCTGGTGTCACCGCTCTCACAGAGCCCGCCTTCTGATCTACAACTCAATGTCTGGACAACGTAACATTATCACTGCTTGCTGGAAGCGGTGCATGATGGGATATGGAGTCTTGAACAATGTAATATCATCATTGCTTGGCTGGAAGCGATGCATTATGGGATATGGAGTCTTGAACAATGTAATATCATCATTGCTTGGCTGGAAGTGATGCATTATGGGATATGGAGTCTTGAACAATGTAATATCATCATTGCTTGGCTGGAAGCGATGCATTATGGGATATGGAGTGTTGAGAAATGGAGATTGCAACACACCAAGCAGCAGGAAAAGAGACGCAAAGCACTCTGGGAATCCAGGAAGTTGTTGGGCTCTGCTGAGTATCTACAGAACGGAATCAGGGAGGAATCTCGAGGAAAAAGAAAACAAAAGATTTAAACATACAATGAGGTTTCCATGGAGCACAGCCAGGGCCGGCCTTAGGGGTGTGCAAGCAGTGCGGCTGCACAGGGCGCCATGGCAACAAGGGCGCC